ATGCGAGCGTTTCATGAGACACGTAGCCCTGTCAAAACTTGCAGTCCTTTGAGGGGAAGCGATTAAAGCAGACCCTTGATTCCCAGTCGCCGATAGGGAAGCAAATTAATCTAGCCGGGACAACGCGGAAGCTGGAACGTAATTTTCGTCGCGGTATTTGTCCTTGAATCCTATGTATTCAGGACGAACAGAGCCTGTGAATGTATTAAGGTGTCTCAGAGAATATAGTGTCTGTCGAAACTTTCATCGAGTAAATCACAACCGCGACAAGGAATTATTTCCAACCTGACGATCTATAACGCTGAATGACATTTAAAAATTTTACCGCTACGTAAAGCCTTATGAAATCAACGCGTAGCCATTGGGTAATGTTTCTTGCACGTGTACTTATGCGCGATACTTCAGAACGAAATTTAGCGTTGCACCAGAAACTATTTCGGCGCATTGCGGAAATAACAGGCCCGCGTGTGACCCAGCTCGAATTGCTGCTTCATTGAGATGTAACTTCTGTTGCGCAGATTGAATATTGCCCAGGAGGATGGACGTTGAAACCGGGGCCATATTGGCCCTGCAAATATTGGCACTGTGTTCGATCGTCGCCGCCCTGCTGGCCTATCTAATGCGGCAATCGAGGAACGCCACCGACGAGTACGAGTCCCGTAACAAACGCCACGTGCTCGTTACCAGCTGCGACACTTGCGTAGGCCTGCAGATCGCCCTTGCGCTCTACGAAGTTGGTTACAAGGTAATTATCTCTCATCCCACGAGAATTCCACAACTTGCGTAAGCAGTTTGTCACGAAACTAACGATGCTGGAGGACTCCTGTCATTGTAAACAGCAACCTTTGCAAAATAAATATTACCAGACAATTGCTTTACATAAATATTTTTAAAAATCTTCGTGAGCTAGATATCGTTTCAGAAACAGGAATTTCTTAACGAGGATTTTCGTTACCTTTCTAACTCTTCTACATCTAAGGTCAGCATCCTTTCCACTTTCCGACGGATCTATTTATTAATTGAGTTACTGGAGGCAGTGATTAAAGTTTCATCATCGTAAGTGAATAGCGTTGGTTCTTTGGCTCCTATTATGAACACCGGAAAAGTTCGATATTTTATCAAATTTAATATCTCCTCCGCGTCAATGTCGTACGGGTGGATGTTCGCTGGTCGGTTTTCGCGACGTCAAAGTTTCCCAAGTTGGATACGGATAATCGATATCTCGAAGCATATTCGAATCGTAGTCGTCGCCTTGACGATGGTTCGAAAATTAATATCTTTGAATTTATCGCATCATGGGCGAAAAGGTTAACGGAACCCTCGAGGCAACGTGCAATTTGTAGACAGAGTGTAAATTACAGGACAAAAGATGTCGGGTGGCTGTGATCTATCGACGAAATCAATATCGTAACGTTAACGTTAACTGTCTACAGGTGTTCGCCGGTCTGCTGGATCCCACGGGCAATTCGCCATCGATCAAGATCCTGCGAGCGATGGAGCAGCAGAGAGAGCGAGAGGAGGATCCAACGAACGCGGGGCGAGGCAATCCGCAGGATCCGGAAGTACGTGCTCGCGGCCAAATCGTGCCATTGGAGCTGGACTCGACGAGAGAGGACAGTTTACGCGCTTGTTTGGACGCAGTTAGAGCAAAACTTCCGGCTGGCGAGGAAGGCAAGCGATTGTCGATTTAATGCGGCTCGGAAGGCGAAGATTGAACACGCTTCGTTGATCGCCTAACTCCGTTCATTTACATGCGTAAAATCACCAGTAGTTGGACACCGTGAAGCAATTTTCACAGGAAGAATTACTAATTTTGTTTTGTTTCCTGTTGTATCGCAACGTTTAATGCGTTGTTAAACCCAGAGAGTAGTCATACAGCTCCTGTTCATTAAATGAGTTATTCGAGTTCTCAACGAAAATTTTCGTTATTTCAAGGGAACGTTAATTAGCCATTGCGTGCTACTCAAGCTCCGTTTCAGGAACTTCCTGCATTCCTGTCAGTCAATGGCCGGTTCGGAATTCCTCGGACGATGCACTTCGATCTGTATCTATAGCACATTACTTTTAACGTTAATTAACGATGATACCTGCTTATTAACTCTGTGAACACGCAGAAATGTGTTTGTCCAATAGCTCCACCTATTTCTCCGAAATAGAGGCGATTCATGCGCTAACATTAATGCGGCTTTAACGACGAGTTCACGAACTTCCGGTGTCGGACCGATTTTCTGGGCGGCGCGAATTCCGAGAGGCAAACTTCCATCTTCGCAGCGTCTGCCACCCGAAAGCGGCCGCTTAAAGTACACCAAAGTTTGAACTTTACTTAATTACAGGTCTCTGGGCAGTTGTGCACACCGGCGGCTTGGCTCTTCCTGGTATTATAGAGAGGCAGCCGAGTTCCGCGTGGGAATCCATGTTGAGACACAACTTGGTCGCCCCGCTTAGAACCGCCAGGGTGTTCACTCCTCTTCTACGCGCCAAAAGAGGTTTGTTTTCAATCTAAAAATTAAGGAATGATTGAAACTTAGAGATACACTTCTATTATACACTTTTGGTGTTTGACAACGAAGGGACCTCAAGGTCTGGATTGTCAACATTTAGACGTTCACTATAAAAAAAAACCATTATGTGATAGGTCGCATCGTTCTATTCGGCGATTCCACGATGAGCTACGGGACCAAAGCTGGAACAGGACTGGTGGCGTACAGCGCCTCGCGAAAGGCCGTGGAGGGTGCTGCTGAGGCATTAAAGAGCGAGCTTCAGTCCTCCGGAGTCGACGTCGTTCTTCTTAAACCGCCACCAGTGAATCCTCTTATTTTATATAGCGCGCCCGTTCTCAAGACGTAAGACTTCAAAGAGTATTTTACAGAGCAGAAATTAAAAATGAAGAATTACGATCTCAGACTCGGCTTTAATCAAACTCTGACGTGAGAGGAGTCCACAATTCAGTGACTAAATTGTTGCTGAAGGTTTAAAGTGGAGAATTTAAAAAATAAAATTCCTACAAGCGTAAAAGCGAAACGTTGCCTTTGCAGGTCCGACGTGGAATCTGGCGTAGTGTCATCCGAAGGAACGTGGACAGCTCCTGTGTCGACCCACTCCATTCAGAGCTCATTAATCCCAGCACTTACGTCACCCTGTCCACGTAGCTTTTACGACATGGCGTCTAAATCGCGACTTTTCTGTCGTTGAATCAACCCTTGAAAGGCGAACGCTGACGAAGGAAGCGTATCGTTACACGGAAGACTTAATTAATATCGTGTTAGGTTACGATCAGCCAGTAATACTTCGTAAGAACGATGGTTACGGAGCCACGTTGACTTAACATTAATTAATCCACCTCTGGACGCGTCGATAATCGTCTGGCAATATTAACACCTTTCATATTAAAATCATTACTTCATCTGAGATTCTTATCGTTCTAGGCGAATCGACACGTCAGAGGTCTAAGATTTTAAGAATATGTACAGTTTTGTAATTAATACAATGTTAATGAAAACTTGTGGTTGAGAGATGTATTCCTTGTTATGTCCTTGCGTACATGGTGTCCCCAATGATCGACTGTGCTGCAAACTTTTCACAGTTGACGGACTAAGATTGCCCAACTTCGGCAAGCGTTGTTTGCGCTCAGTGTCGCAATTATTCCGTTTCTATTACGCAACTAGTAATCGTCTGGAGCTGTGTATATTAGTTTCGGTAGCAGTAGGAGCTTCCGTTGCGAGTTCCACGGATAATTCCACGCAGACATCCGAGGGAATCGTGGATTCTCGCGTAACTCGAGTGCAATGCAAACAATGCAAGTTTGAGTACGACTGACCGATGAATGGTGTATTCAATTCTAGTTTCGCGGATGTTCGAATAAATTTGATTTGTTAGTTCGTAACACGTGATAGTTTAATGTCGTCAGTCTCGAAAATTCTGTCAGCTGGTCAACGAATCGGCCATCGTTCATCTTGAACAACGAAGAGATTAGACAATGGACGATCCAGTTGTCATTCACAAGTACAACGACGAATACAGTGATATTTCTGGTTTTAGTACGCGTACTATCACATTAAGAAACGTTTACGCGTCTTAAACTATTCTACGGTCCGATATCGTCGTTGCATTAAATCCTATCCCAATTACTCGTCGAACCATGCGTAATCTTTTTCCATTACTTTCAGCGGGAATAAAAAGGAAACTCGCGAAGTCAACGAAGTGCTAGAAAAAAAAGATAATAGGACCAACAAATATGGTTAGCAGGAAGCTCTTAAAATATTCATAATTGCTTATATAATCGCGAGGAATCCGCGACAAACGTTACGTTAATGCTAACCGTTCGGAGGATTTATTAATTATTCATAAGCCAATTCGTCAGAAACATTTCATTAGTCGTTGCCAAGGTATAGCGGCGATAATCATTGAATCAGCGTGGCGGAGAGAGAGAGAATATTTGACTTTCCATCGAATCGATAGATTACAATTCAGCCAGAAATGAATGTATCATGCGAGGGAACGGTACGCGGAAATGCAATAAATTCAACAATAAACTGTATTGCCACGTTGGGATGCGGCTATTCAGCCGACATATTGACACTCGTTCGCTCTATCGTCGAATACGCGCAATTTATTGCTCATTAATCACGACAGTCCAATTTGCGTTGCCGATCGAATGTACGATAGGGTGGTTTCTTTAATGGAATCGAGCGGACCCGACGCGGGAATAATTGTAGCCCTATAATTTTGGAATTATATCGGGTTTCCGTGCTGATTAAAACTAGTAAAGCATCGGGTAATGCGTTCGCGTGCGCGGTACCGCTGCTTTGGATAGTTACGAGTACAACTTGAAATTAAAATTTCAGTTCGCTTGAGGCCTACGTTAATCTCATCGACGGTGTATACACGTTCATCACCGGAGGAAGTCGCGTGTGCTGCGAACTCGTTCGTTCAATTTGATTCATTCCATTCGTTACCGTTCATTTAATAACGAGTATCGCAATTTATCCTATGTCCTCAGGGAATATAACTCAGGGAAACGAATGTATGTCCAAATGGTCTCTAAATCGGTACGAGGAAACCTATAAAGACAGGTGACCGAGCATCTATCGAGTGGTCCTGCCATTGATTAGAAATGTTTGCAACAGGAAGCCTCGATTTCTCGCCTGGGCAAACATTTTGCAACTCATTTTTGCGAAGCTTTTACGCCATACCGCGACATCGACTCCAGCCCGTGTCTGGCAGTGACGAAAACTGGAGTCATAACGTCGCCATTAAAAAAACAATCATTCGCGGGAGCAGCTACTAGGCGGTTTTGTCTCTCGCTCTATCGTGATCACCGACGTGGTGTGACAAGCAAATTAATGCTTTAACGAGACCGTTCTTTTGCGAGCCAGATCGTTCCTATAAAATGAGATTTTCGCTGATCGTGCAAACAGTCCATCGACGGTCCTCCGAGGGAACAAATATGGCGCTTGTAGAGGTAAAATCGTGAACCATTAAAATCATTTAATCGCGATTACTTCAGACTTGAAGACGACGCGAATACAGAGTTGAAATCGAATCCGAATCGATCGTTCCAATTTCTAGGACTAGGACCAGCTTTCCTAAAACACATTACGAGCTTCGCGGCAAAGTATTACGAAGTCGTGATCGTAAAGTAAGGGCGCGGCGTGTTTCAGAGATCTTTATGCGAGTGGCAAAAGCGTCTTCGCGAGTTCGTTCTCGTCAGAGCCCTTATTCCCAGCGAAAAATAACGATCCACCCTTCGCAACCCTCTGGCAAACAGTCTCGTGTGATTCGAATGAATTTCGTAGGAATAATACGGCTACATAGGTCACATTTCGTTACCTGCTTTCTATTTCCAGAGACTGATCCTTGTTGCATTGCTTTCGATCGTGGTCACTGATGCTTATCCAAAAGCACTTGGAGGTACGACTGTGAAAAATGAGCAATCGAATCAGCGATGAGCAACATTTAAAAATTTGAAGTAAATTAAAGGACTCTAAGGACCGAGATGTGTTTTTCTGTTTGTCTTTCTAAATTTTTAACCAAACAATAATTTTGCCTATCGTTGACTCTAGTCTAGTTGTTTCGACGTTCAAACGTTTAAAAATTCGATTTCAGGTGGACACGCGCATTCCTTTCACCATTTCACCGGACCAGTAGAAGGTCATCACGAAGAGGTCAGCTGGAAGGACAAGCACGGCCACGTTCACCACGATTACAAGGCTCACCCCAAGTACAAGTACTCCTACGGCGTGGATGATAAACACACGAAGGACTATCATGGACAGCATGAGCATCGCGACGGTACGCATACAACTTTCCTAGCATTGATTAAGCACCGGGAAGAAAGTGCACCGAAACTCAATCTGGAGCTCTTAATTGGAATCTCGAACTAATTGGACGGTCGACCTTGGTCTTAATTAGAACTAGAAGCAGATTTGCCTGTCGACGAGTTTCCGACACGCTGGCTCTGCTATTTTTTCCAACGCGTGTCGCAGAGACGTCGAAACAGTAAAGCTGATGACTTGGAGAGACATTAATCTTCAATTTGTTTTGCACAGGTAAAGAAGTCGAGGGAGAGTACCATCTTCACGAACCAGGCGGCAACATAAGAGTAGTGAAGTATCATTCGGATCCTCATGGCGGGTTCTTCGCCGAGGTCCACAACCATGGAGGAAACGATCACTCTGGTGGCACTTACGGTGGTCACAAACACTAATAAAGGATACAACAAACACTAATTTAGCAGCAACTCTTCTTTGTTTTTGTTGTTATATTTGTTATTTCCCACTGGTCTTTCACGTCGAGCTTGTTACTTCGTGGAATGTTGAGCATAAAATAAATGAAAGGAGAAATGATACATCAGTCCCTGGTTACTGGCATTCATTTGTTTAAACCTCCGAATTAATCGTGTAATTAGCTTAAAGAGATTTAAAGGGACGACGACTTAATATGGCAAGTATTAACTCCATTGAGTCATCGAATTAACAAAGTAATCATGCTACGCTCGCCGACAGATCTTGAAACCGATTAAGGAGGACGAAAAATTTCGTTCAAGGGTATATCGATCGCCGGAACCAATGGAATTCCACGTTCGAAGTGGTTGTAACCGCGTTGCAGGGGTAGCACGGTTGCAAGAACAGGGATCGAGCCAGGGCTGTAAAGAGATCGCCACCCCAGTTTCGTTACTGACCCACCCCTGCCAATTCCGCTACCAATTTCCATCACCAGTAATTGCATTGCGCATACGCTCCGACAATTTCTACTAAGTTTGCGCACCGGATGATATTGAGTAGACACGGCTCGCCGTTGAAGCACAGACGCTAACTTCCCTGGGAGCTCATGGCTTCCTTTGAAGACTGGGCCGACGAAGATACACCAACGGTATCCTCCTCTTGGAGAACGAGTAATTGAATCGAACTATGCGTGGCGTTTAAATACTTTTTTTCCGCGTGGAGGTATTCCATGCGAATGAATCAGTGAAAATCGCTTTAAAGATGCTGGAAATCCAAATGCCAGGATAATATTAAAAATACCGTTGTAAATAGCGTCTTAATAAAATAGCTGCACAGATACAGTTGAACTCGAACATTAATTAATTCGTAAATGCATAAATCATCAGAAAATGGTTCCTTTTTTCGAAGCTAAAATGAAATTTATGCAATAGTGAATTCGAATGGAAGACTTCAGCGTGAAATTCCAGTCTGAGCAGAAGAACGCAGCCGTCACCAGATACGAATAGAATTACAAACTAATTACGTGCGGCTGTCGCTTCTGAAGCGAGAGGACGGAAAGGTGTAGCAACGTCGAATACAAACGACAGCGTCTGTTGCCCCCCAAAAATGTCACTTATTCGTCGGTGTTTACTGGATGTACGTAATTCTTGCATTTCTACAACGGTGCCTTGCGACAACTTCTGCTGCTGTACTTCTGATACGTCGTTCTCGCATCGACGGTTCTCGCGACAACCCAGATGCGACTCTAAGCTTGTTAAAATAATTAGTACCCAAAACAGATGGCCGTTCCCCACGTAGCCTCTGTAAATCTTTACGACAGGGATTGCCATAAAACTAATGAACCTAGAAGGGACTTTCACGAGTCCCCTTATTCGTTGATTTTCTAATTTATCGTCCATCCAGTAGCATAGAAAAAATATTTTCTCGATCCTGAAGATAATTTCACCAGGATCAAAATCGTTATAACGTTGCACGATTTCTGTTCACAATTTCCGTTGTTCTCGCACGTCGACAAAAGGGGGGGAAATTACCCCGAAAATATTCGTTCAGTTATTTCGCCGAATTAATCAACGAATGACGTCCCGTACGTACACGAGGAGAACAATCGCGAATGCTTATGATTGTCAGCGTATTTGCAGGGACCTAATTGCGAAGTAAATATTTCAATAAATGACCGAACAGTGGGAACGTTCCACGAAACTCGAAATGCATCGCAACGTCGAACCACTCGCTGTGCGCCCACGCACAAATGACGCATATCCGCTCAGCATACGAATGCGCGCCGCATCGCGCAGCAGGATCGATACAGTCGTTTGCCGAAGTAAACGGATGGATTACGAGTCGTGAAATAACCTTTCCTCCCCCAGAGAGGGAGAGAGAGGGAGGAGTACGCCCGAGAAAGTCGAGAGAGTCCCAGCACGGGTCAAACCTGGACTTCTCATTGGTTACCCCGAGGGATAGGATGTCTCGTCTCCCTTGCCGCGCCCCAGGGCTCGTTCGAAACGAATGCACTTATTTAATTAAGTACATTACACGGTCCCTAGTTATTTTAATAACGTTATAGTATTCCCTCGTCGAGATTAAGCTAATTATAATTTCCCAGGACTTCACGATGAACGAACGTTTTTCGAATATTCCGTGATGCGTTCTCCGTTTCGCTTCCGTGGACAATCTCATGCAGACGTTACACTCTGCCGTCGAGGTTGTAGCTTCAGAGTCACCGAAACGAAATGTATGTTACCTCTGACAACAAAATGTATCCTAAACTTGGAATCCTTTGCAACTTTGTCTCGCTAAGCACCTCGAGAGCGTTCAGCTCAACTTCTTAAGGAATGTCTCTTAGAAGATTGATAGACTTATGGACATGGCCTCTCGGAGATCGAGAGAAACCACTTACCTGTCATCCTGAGCTGCTCGAGAGTGTTCAACCCATATTCTTAAGATGTGTCTCTTGAAAGATTGATAGACTTATGAATAGAGCCTCTCATAGATCAAGAGACTTTCTTACCTTTTAACAAGGTACAGTTTTATAGATGTACTAAGTGGATTCACCGTTCAGGACTTATATTTGCAAGTAAGGTATTATCGCAATCGAACAGTTTTAAACGAAATACGGAATCTTGACAAAGATACCAAGAAAAATTTCCACGAACAAACTGCCGTTTCCCTTCGACTATTCCAGTCCTGATTAAACGTTGACTTAAAGTTACACCTGGTAAAACGTCAGCGCCTGGTTCCAGCTACTTAAGGGACCCGCTCGAACAGCGTAGGTACTTCGGAAACCCTTGCGGAAGTTCGAAGCCCTTAAAAGTCTCTTTGAAAATGTTGTCCGCGCCGAGCACGAGAACTCGATTCCGCCTGTGACGGCATAAATAGTACAAGTTACGCACGGCTGCCGTGTTTATTCTTTCCAATGAGAAAAAAAAAATTCCACGGAAATTCCGTCTGTGGTTGCGCAACACGAGGTACATAAAAATGCCAATAACCATCGACAAACTCGAATGAGAAACAGATTTCCCTGGACTGGCATACGGACCTGCAAACAAGGCGTACATTTAATTCTGAATGAAACGAATATAACGGAGCCTATCAAAAGCAGATCGGGCACACGGGGAATGCCTTTGTGGTTGATTTACCAACGGTGCATCACCATTGTGTACATATTTCGTTAGGATCGCTTTTTGCATCGGGACAGAACAAATAGCGGGTGTAGAAAAACATTTCCGCGTCGAGATCAATAGAGCGGAATCGATGGTCGTTTCAGTGAAACGCCAACCTATGTGCGTGGAAGGTCTGTCGTTATGTTAAGATCTGCCAAAGAAACGTCCGTACTTTATGCAAAGCGTACCGATTGGCACATGGCGGCCCTTTTTTCGCCACCGCGACGTTAAGTAACAGCGTCGATGCGAAATTCCGTCTACCAAAAACAACGAATGTTCGCAGGTATATAAACGCCTACGATCGTATGTCCAACTATCACTCGATCACGATCCCGTGGACACTGGCATTATGGTAATGAAGGTAGGCACCGACCACTTTGTACAGACCAAATGATTTATACTGGACTGATCTTATTTTTTCCACGCAATATCAACAAAATCGAGCTTTCGTATAATTAATAACATACCATTTCGTTTACAGGTCGTTTTAGTTTCCTTGGTCGCCTTCGCGGCAGTGCAGAGCGGGTCGGCAGGACACGCTCACAGCTTCGCCCATTTCCATGGTCCCGTGGAAGGGCCACACCACGAAGTCTCCTGGCACGGACATCATGGACATCACGTTGACTACGTGGCTCACCCCAAGTACGACTTCTCCTACGGAGTCGAGGATCATCACACCGGCGACTACCACGGTCAGAAGGAGCACAGGGATGGTAAGTCGTGGACGAATAAAGAACGAAACTTTATCGGTTTTCCCTCGAAACGTAAATTTCCCTCGATGGTCGAGTTACTTATTTTCCGTAATAAGGGTGCACCGCTTATCGTCCACCTGCGGAACCTTGCAGCGGAAGAAAGTAAATTACAAATGCAAATAAATTCCGCTCAACAGGTCGATACATTACGTTTCTCTCGCGCTGACAAGATCGTGCGCGTGCTTTATACGGAGTATCTCGGTAATTGCAGCTCCACCGAGGAAGGTGATTCTTTATGCAAAAAGAAAATGAGAAAAGTTTCAGTTTTACGACCGTTTATTAACTTCTCGGAACATCAAACAATTTCCTTATAAGAGTAATAAAATAAAAATATGTATTTAAGGTTGAACTTTTCGTTCGTGCGTCGCCTCATTCGAAGCGTCGTATGCTTTTTCAATATTACATAGTCTTCGATTGAATTCCATGGATATGTTCTAGATGCTATTCTCTCGGAAGATGTAAATAAGATTCAATTTTTCTCGATCAGGCAAGAACGTGGTCGGTGAATACTCCCTCAAAGAACCAGGTGGCAACGTCAGGGTGGTTAAATACCATGCCGACCCCCATGGAGGATTTTTCGCTCACGTACACAATTCCAACGGTAACAATCACGAGGGTGGTACATACGGTGGGCACGGAGGACACGGATATGGACACTACTAACGACGACAGGCGACGATTCCCATAGGAAATTGGATTACGTCCTCTGAATTAGTCAGAAGCGTTTCCAATGGCTTTGTTATATTAATTACTTAATATGCAACGGTTTGTTTGGACCAAAGAATAATGAAACAGCAGTTAACGCTGAATATCGTTATTCCTGGATCGTATTTGTTGATACTGTTATTGTTCTAACTGTATAATATAACTGTACGCTACTAAGCTTCCGTCAATGCTTCACTCCTCCCCTTCGTCGTCGTCGACGCGTTTCTCCAACGACGGTTTTTACGATCCAAGAAATTTCCAGCTGAATCTGAACAACCGAATCTACAGGTACGTCGCGGTTCGCCCGTGGAAATATGATGGCCGTAACAATCACGGTATCGCCGTAGTAAAGTTATCTCTGCAGAGAAATACGGGATCCGCGATATTTTTATCGATTCCCCACACAAACGAGAAGCCACGTAACTTCCCTATAAAGCGTCTAAAACGCGCTGCGTTCCCCAGCGATGGCGAAGTATAGTTGTTATCGTGGGTGACTGGAATTCTTGACTATCGCTTTGGCTGGTATGCTTTTTCATAAGTATTTCTAATATTGCCTCGTTGATACCGAAACATTCTATCGCGTAAAATCAACCTGTTTCTCAATCATTCCTTGTACAAACTGCGCAATGAACAGCTCAATTATTATCTCCGTGGCATCAGTGCTAGCTTCTATTTCGCAGCCAATGAATTTCATAAAGTCGTTCGACTTTCTCGAAACCAAAATATGAACTCGACAGATATTACCATCGATAATGTTAGGAGTACCGATATTACAACCACCCTTCGGCATAGTTCGCTGGTTTGTTCGACTCTCGTGCAGCCGCGGAGACGCGGCAAACTTGCGAGCAGTTACGAGCCAACTTCCGGCGTTTAGTTTCCCTCTACGCTCCGTCAAAGTGATAAATGAAGTCGCACGAGCCTTTTCTCCTAAACAAACATACGATTTCGAGACCTCTGTTCGGCGTGATGGAAATTTAGCCCGGAGGTTCTTGAGTACTTCCGCATTTTTATTTCGAAAATGAAAGTGATAGACCTACAAAAATTCGTTAAAATCAAAGAAGATCGATTGAGAACCCTTGTTCTCGTGGTGGTTATCGAAACTACTCCTCCTCTCTTAGGGCTCCGTTTCTCCCCCGTTCAGGGTGAGTTGGAGGTGTCGAAGGGTAACCGGAAGGCACTGACACCACCGTGAACAGCGATGACAGAGGCAACACCCATCCGAGCGTGGCCGCGATCAGACAGAGGGTGAGAAGTTGTCGGAAACAGGCGGCGGCAATAATGCGCGATGGACGCGATAGGGTGCGATCGATTTTCTCGATCCCGAGAGAATGGAGTCTTTATTATTCTGGCGCGAAGGCGGCGGTCCGAGGGTAGCTTCGTTATTCGTTTCGGGCAGTGGTCGCCCGAATCTGCTGGCAGCCCCAACCCCTCCGAGATCCAGCTCTTTTATATCAGTCTTACTTCTACTTCCTTTCACTTCTACAGCCTTCTTGCCTGTCGGTAAAAATCCAATTCGTTCTGGTGCGTTGCATGAGAAAATAAGAGAAGGAAATCCACAATTCTCGAAGCCAAGCACAACTGCTGTAAGGTTGGGAGTTAATACGGAGTTCGATGTGGTCGTTCTATTCAGCGACAAATTCAACATTGCTTCGACGTTCGGTCCCGGTTCGATCCTCGACCCTTTAATTCTTCAGGATCACTTTATCGCGTCTTGGTTAATTCAGCGTTCCATTTCACTTAACTTGGAAGCGAAGGTGGATCGACTGACCCACGGGGATTATTAAAGCTTCGAGGGTTTCGAACGGTTGGCGAGTATTAATGGAATTTATAATATGTAGTTCTTTTGTGTTCGACCACTGTTAGAAGCTTATATGTTTTCCTTCGACTTGAGATTTTTAAAAGGAGAATCCGTTTTCTTCCTCAATGCAGCCTGCAATAATTTAAATTTAAATTCTTAGGCACTAGGAAAAGAATAAAGTATAATAAACAAGTCTTATTTACGTGGTATAAACAAATTGGACACCAGAAATTTTATTTAGGAACTAAAATCCATCACAGGATTGAATGCATTTTTATTAAGCGGATTGAATTTCCTCCTTCATTCTATACGTGTTCAGTGTTAAAGTAAGTATGGAAGAGCCGTTATAAAGAAATAAATCGAATGTCAGAAAGCAAACGGTAACGTCTATTGGATTGCGAAACCGAGAAATTGGAAGTTCCCTTTCTCACGTTTAAATCGCTGCACCATTTTTCTATCAACTGGTTTGATTGACGTACGAAATTAATAAAATACGTAGGTCGGCCACTAGAGGGGAATCGCCCAGCGTGCAGTCAATCGTGGGTCGATTGTCGAAACGCACCATTTCTTGTTGCGATACAGTGTCATTTACAGCTCATACATTCTTGTTGGAAATTTGAAGGAAGCAAACATTACCCCGATCCTTTGGCGATAGTGTAAGATGAACAGTTTAGTACGAGTAAAGAAACATGACAGTGGAGAATAAGCACGGAGTATCGTGTAAACATTGGACACGAAAACACGCACCATGGAACGCCATGGAACCCCATGAAAATGCATGGAACGAGGATTGGAGCTATAACGGTGAGTACATTTTCGAAATAACGTATCGTCTATCAATTTTTTGAGTCAAAGAATAATTCTAAAGAAACATGGGAAATTCGTTGGCCCTCTTTTGAACAGGAAATTCGGGATAAGTTAGTTCGAAACTCCTATCCGATCATGTGGTCTCAGGAAACAAAGCGTTTCCGCGAAGTAAAGAAAGTGGCTTCCTCGCCTCGGAGACTCTCGGGTCGAGCTCCTCGCGCCATGTAAACATATTTACATAGAACTCGTGGGAAGCTTCGACCCCAGACTCGATGACGCGCCATACTTGCAATTAGAAAGTTCGTTCGCTTAGACTTCCGACACGAGAGGGGTGGTTTAAGTTCACCTTGCGCTCTTCCATCCCAATCAACGTCGAAATGATTCAATAAACTGTTCGAGAAACCACCGAAGCGTCCACCGCACGATTTCGCCAACGATTATTATTTCAGAGAAGTTTGATTGCACGCGATCGACCCCACCGCCAATTTTGCTCGTAATTTTATCCTCCAGAAAATACATATTTAGACTGTACGAATGGTAACGTAATAGTTAATACACGGTTGCTTTGGTGCCGCGTTTCAACGGAAATTAGTTGCCTTTTATAAACATTTTACTTTCAACTCGTGGAACTATATAAATGCGAATTCATATCAGAAACTCGGTGTAGAATTGAAATCCTAGCGACGCCGCTTCTCGGTTTTTATAAAGTTCTTTCATTCAGTGATTCGCGCACAATGGGGCGTCATAATCGACATGACTGAGGGTAACGAGAAGAACCGAGCTTATCGCCTGTTGCCAGCCTAACTCGTCCTCATTTAACTTTCGCAATACTCGTCGTCTCGCCGACTGGAAGTGTGTCTCGCGAACTCTCCAATCGTCCGTGAACTTTTCGCAAACCGTAACTGATTTCCACTGAAATTACTCTTAATATTACCGCTCGTCTCGGAATCTGAATATCTCTAAAGATTCGTACTCGAGGCTTTATTACCCACTATTATACTTTAACCGTCTTTGGTGGAACTAGCAGCGTTTAAGCCTTCGACTTCGTCGTGGCTCCAACTGTTCTATCCGTTGGTACAGCAATTGCAAAAGGTCTTAATCTAAATAGAAAAAGATACAAAAATGTTCGTCTGCTCTCCGTCGAGTAAATTTAATCTGTAACCAGTCGATTGAACACCGAAAATATTTGTAAATTCCGGAGTTTAGTCGCTGCTGGGTAGAACGCTATCCAATTATATAAATGAAGCCAGCTTCGAGGACGGGTTCCAATTTTTTGCTCCTCAAGTTTCCCTGCTGGAGGGATAAAAATTTCAAGGTATGCCGGGCTTAGAATGTTCTCCACGTTTCGGTTTCAAGTCGATACCTTTCTTCCTCCCCTCCGAAATCCGTTTCACTATTTTATTGTCTCTTCCACTGTCTCTTTACCAGGACCTGCTTCGAAAGTTTTACCATACGAGTTTCCGCTTCGTCTCGCAAGAATCGGCAATTCTTCTCTTTCAAAGAAGCAACAGAAGATAGAAGAAACTGTCACAGGCGATTTTTCGTTGGCGGGATAAACTGGCCGGATCTCGAGACACGCGAAACGGTTCTGTATCGCGGTCGAGGAAACAGAATTCGTCAATACGGGGTTCATCGAGCCGTGCACGCTCCGATCTCGATCGTTCCCTCGATACGATCTCGTTTCTCTATTGCGATGGTAACTGTTCACCGCTTTCTCCTAGATTGATCGATCGTTTCAGAGGACCTTGACGTTCGCTCTAATAATCGCCGTAAATTCGTTTCACTGCTGTCGATATATAACGTCTCAAAAACTATGGACGTTCCATCGAAGAGTTGCATTACGCACAGCTGGATGCTTCGAAAGAGAGCTTGGTGAATTTTTTTTCGGATGCACTATTCATTTATACAAAAATGGAGATAACGAAATTCAAAGTCTATTCGTTGAAGTCGTAAATAAGATTGTGTAAAATTGTGTAAAGAAACTGAATAGTTTCTTTAGAGATGGAAGAACGTTCGCGTATTATGGGCCACGCAAAACGAGGCCAGTTAAATCAACAGAAGTGGTTACCCCGAGGAGGAGGTAAGAAGACGACGAAGAGAACGAAACAGAAGAAGAATTCCTTTTCCCTTGACACCAGCGAGGTGCTTGGCAGCCTGCTGCTGGTCGGTAAATTCTTGAGTAACGATAATTCCGCGATACCTTACTCGCCGTTCGTCTACAACCGGTTCTCTTCGTCGCTGGATAACGTTAGAGCTTTGGTCCCGTGCCAAGATACATCTGCCAGCACTCACCGATCTACGTACACCTAGTGTATATATCTAGGCTCTCGTCGTCACCCTCGCCAAGCGTACCCACCCCCGAAATCGAAACCATCTCCGTCGTTCGTCACCTCGATTCGCTCATCTTCTTTGTGCTCTGTTCCTTTTCGTCGTCGAAATTTTATTCGAACCGAGTTATCATGAATCATGAATTTTATACAT